CCGCCCCGCGGGCAGCCGCAGTCACAGCAGACGCCGCGTCTGGGGCTTCCAATGTCTCGCGACAACCCGAGGGGTCTATCCAGCCCCCTCCGGCCCCGCCCCCTTGCCCCGCCCCCTCCGGCAGCCGCACTCACAGCAGACGCCGCGTCTGGGGCTTCCAATGCCTCGCAACAACCCGAGGGGTCTATCCAGCCCCCTCCGGCCCCGCCCCCTCCGGCAGCCGCACTCACAGCAGACTCCGCGTCTGGGGCTTCCAATGCCTCGCGACAACCCGAGGGGTCTATCCAGCCCCCTCCGGCCCCGCCCCTTGGCCCCGGCCCCGCCCCCGCCCGCACTCACTGCAGGCGCTGCTCCTGGGCCAGGCTGCGGTTGCTGCTGTCCAGAGCCCTCCGAAGCTCCCGAAGCTGCCGCTGCTGCAGCCGCTCCATCAGCAGGGTGGCCCGAGCCTTCTGGATGCGCTGCCGGTCCCAGTCCATGTCCCGCTGGCGCTCCTCTTCCTGAAGCCTCTGGAGGGAGAAGAGGCGACGGCCATCACCTTTCGGGGCGGGGGGGCGGGGAGACTGAGACGCCGGAGGGGAGAGAGGGAACCAAGATCATGCACAAAGTCACGACCCCCACGCTGCCGTACTGCTGCTGGTCCTCTCCCACCCGAGGGCAGCAGGGACCCATATTCAGCTGGGGGATGGCTCCAATTGCAGGCCTTGCGGGGTGTGCCTCGTCTGTCTCTGTGGGCTCCTGGGGTGGGTTAGCACACACCACGCACCCGGACGCACCAGGGGGCTATTGCTCCTTCTGGCTGAACACAGCAATGCAGCCGCCCTACCCAACCACCAGGGACCAGGACCTCGTGGGTGGGCCCAGCCTGGCCTCTGAATTTCTGTATTGCAGCCCATTCCTTTTTGCACTTCAGACCCCCCCTATAAAACCCACTACACCCTAAGAGGCCACTGGGTGGGTGCCAAGGGAGGGAGTCCTTCCCAAGCATGGGATCACTTTGATTAGCCATGTGGAGCGCAAAACCTTTCACTAGCTCATCTTAGAGGAAACAGGAAGGGGACCGGGAGCCAGGGCTGCAGCTAAGCTCCTAGCCTCCACTCACCCTGGTCTTAGAGTAGGGCCTCCTGACCAGGGCCTGGAGTGTCCAATGGCCCTGTAGGCCTGGGTCCCCAGCCCCACCCAGGGATGGAAATATAGGTTGGTTAGTGCCTTTGCTTTGCCACCTCCAGGGCCACTTGGCTCCTGGGAACCTCAGTTTCCCCACCGGTCATCTGGGCGGCTCCTCAAGGCCCTGAGTCATCACAAATATGCTCTGGATAAGAATATGGAATGAACATCCTGCTTTGGTGAGTAGTGACTGGGATCTTAAAAGCTTGCAAATGGCCATCTAGATGCAATGATGGGTCTCTCCTCGTCCAGAGCAAAGAAGAATGGAGAAAACCAAAGATGTGTGGAAACAATTAGTCCAAAGGACTAATTGCAATCCTCAGCCTACACGACTATGAGACCAGAAGAACTAGATGGTGCCCGGCTACCACTGTCAACCACTCAGAGGGGGATCTATGTAGGAGACCCTGGATAG